TACGTTTTTTGTTCGTAGACACGACGGGAAGGTCAAATTCTGGAGAAATATGAATTCTGCAGTTGACCCCCTACTCCAGAGGAGGAGGAGGAGGAGGAGGAGGAGGAGGAGGAGGAGGAGGAGGAGGAGGGAGGAGGAGGAGCACAGAGGAACAGTAAGGAGGAGGAGGAGGAGGAGGAGGAGGAGGAGGAGGAGGAGGAGGAGGAGGAAGAGAAGGAGCAGACTTGTGCGCCCTCTGAGGAGGCCCGCCCCGTTCACCATCCCCCCCCCCGGCGAGCCGCCGAGCCAAGCCCGGGCCTCCAGCGGCCGCTCGGCACGAGCCCTGTGCACCCCCGGCAAGCCCTCGGAGAGGCGCAGCTTCTGGAAAGCGCCCCCCGAGCTGCCCAGACAGGACCGAGTCGTTGAAAAAGTCTGTTTTTGTTGTTTTGTTTTTTTGTTTGTTTGTTTTCTGTGTTTTTGCATGTTTTTTTTTTGTGTGTGTGTTTCTTTCCCACGGACGGCGAGTGTTTCGCTATTTCCGGCCCCTGGGGGCCCTCGCCGTTCCCGGGGAGCGTCAAAAAACGACGCGGGATGAGAAACCGGTCCCGGGACGCCGCACCGAAAAAATCAGGACGTCGCATGTTTGGGGGGGCAACCTCCAGGGGCCGACGAGAACGCCAGAAAACGCCCAGCTCCCATGAGGGCAGTGGCTGCGAAAAGGGGCGCAACCTGACACAGAATCACGACCAGAGGCCTGGGCCCCGCCGGATCAGTGCCCTAGACCGGGCCCTGTGCCGCAACGCCCGGATCTCAGGGCCACGACCTGGAGCGGGCCGCCGCGTCGTCCACCTCCACAGACGTCCGACGTCGGGAGTTTCTCAATGCGGGGCCCCCCCGAAGCCCTGACGCTGTCTCGGCGACTACAACCGAGACATGATCGTGGCGAAGAAAAAATCCGGACGGTAGGGTTTTCGCTGTTTTCGGCCCTTGGGGGTCCACGCCAGGCCCCGGGACCGTCAAAAGACGATTCAGGATGAAAAGCCAGTCCTGGGGAAAGGGTCGGGACTTCTGGCGACGCCGCACTGGAAAAAATCAGGGCGTCGCATGTCGGGGGAAGGGTACTGCTTCGCGGGGTGTGGTCTGCGATCGGCACCGTTCGGGGCCTTGGGGGTACGACACGGTCCTCGTCGGGCCCCCTGGGGGCGCGGCGGAGAGCTCTATCGAGGTCCCCGCCCGCCCCCCAGGTTGCCCCCCAGGGTGCCGGTTGCAAACCGCACCCTTTGCACACCATACCCTTCGGAGTCGCCGACTTTCCCAGGGACTTGCTCGTCATCCTGAGTCGTTCTTTGACGGTCCCGGGGCGAGGCCGAATACTGCGAGAACAAATCCGCCTCGAGTTTCTCCTCCTTCTTCTCCTCCTCCTCCTTCTCCTCCGACGACGACGGCGACGACAACGACGACGACGACAACGACGTTGGAGATCTGGGCTCGGCGGCTTCGGTCTTCGGGCCCTAACTCGGGCCCCCGGCGGCCGTGCGGGGAGATCCGGGCACCCCCAAAGCGCTCTCGGCGAGGCGCAGCCGCTGGAAGGCACCCCAAGGGTGGAAAACCACCGAGAGCCAAGAAAACTGCCGAAAACCTCGCGACGAGCCTCGAACATTTTCTCGAGATGCTGGAGGTACAGGAATGTTGGGAAAATCTGCGCAAGGGCCCCGCGCACCCCACTCGCGGGAGTTCCTGGGGCGTCCCGCGTGATTGTTCTGGGGGGCGAAGAGTAAGGAGAATCGGGGGAAGGAGGAGGAGGAGGAGGAGGAGGAGGAGGGGGAGGAGGAAGCGGAGGGGTCGGAGGAGGAGGAGGAGGAGGAGGAGGAGGAGGAGGAGGAGGAGGAGGAGTCTCTCGAGACGTTGGAGGTCTGAGTCAGCGAAGGACCCCCAGCTCGCCCAGTGGATGACCCGCGCGAACGGCCTGCACCACCGCATCAAGGACGCGGAGCTTCTGGCTAGTGGCGCCGCCATCGGGGGCGAGAAGTTCTTGGCCCAGGCATGCAACGTCGTCGAGGTTCGAGGCTCGAGGTACGGTTCGAGCTGCGAAATTCGAGGAAGTTTTCGTCGGTCCAAGGCGCGCCAGGACCCGAAAGCCAGACGTGGAACGTCGTGAAAAAGTCAGGACGGAGGTTCTTCGTCGTCTTCGGCCCCTGGGGCCCCTTCTGGGCCCCGGGGCGGTCAAGAGACGTCTCAGGATGCAAAGCCGGTCCCCGGGAGAGGGTTGGGATGTCCAGGGACCGCGCATTGAGAAATTCAAGACATAGCAGGTCTGGGAATCGTGGCAGGTTCAATCGGTCAGCACGGCTTGCGTTTGCGGCTTTGCGACAGCAAGAAGGAAAGAGGAGCGTCCGAGAGTTCCTGGGAGTTGAAGCTGGTTCCCGAAGGCTTTATCTCGCCCAGGGATGCCCTCCAGCCGCTGCGCCTCGCTGGGGGTGCCAGCATCGTGCCGAGCGGCCACCGGAGGCCCTGAAGGTCGAACCTGAAGGGGTTCCACCTTTCTGTCCCCTTCCCGGGGGAGGGGGGCCGCTCTCTCAAGTCGGGGGCGGAAAAGAGGGGGGTGATGACTAGGGGGGGATGGATATCATGGCGGGGGCCAGGATATTTCCCCAGATATCATGGCGCCTCCTCTTATTTCGTTACGTCCCTGGCCCCCCCGCTGGGTCGCGCACATGCCGCCGGTCATGATTTGCACCCCCCCCTCTTGGACCCCCCTCTTGGCCGCTCCCGATCAAGGGCGGAACACCGATCCACGGCCGCGGCCCCGCGGGCGGGGCCCCGGGGGCCGCGGCCCCGTGGATCACCCGGGGGCACGTTTCGCGGATGCGCCGCGCGAGACGTGCCCCCGCGACTGCGTATCCGCGGGGTCGCGCCCCGGAGTCCGGATCGCGGGGGCGTGCACGTGGATAGTTGCGTCTTCCGCCGGTGATCGGCGGCGAGAGGGCGAGGGGGGGAAGCGAGAAGGAGAAGGCCATCTCAAAAGGCGGCGGGAGCTCTCGGAGGCCCTCGCGCCTTCTGGGAGGTTCTTTGCGTCTCCGGGGAAGGCTCAAGAAGCTTCTCGGAAGGCTGGGGACCTCTCCTCCTCCTCCCCCTCCTCCTCCTCCTCCTCCTCCTCCTCCTCCTCCCTCCTCCTCCTCCTCCTCCTCCCCCTCCTTCTCCTCCTCCTCCTCCTCTCCTCCTCCTCCTCCTCTCCTCCTCCTCCTCCTCCTCCTCCTCCTCCTCCAGGCGTCCAGCTCCGCGCGCGATGCCATATCTACACGCCTCACCTTTCCTTACCATACTTTTACTCTCTGCGCCATGTATCCCTCTTGTTCTTGTGGAGCCCCTCGCCCCCACGCGTAGAAAGGATAGTGGGATGGTGGAACATCGCAGCCTCAATCTTGTCACGCATAATGTGTGCTCTCTTGTTCAGCCAGGCCGACATACGGAGGTCTATCTTGCGTATGCTCGTAAGGATATTGTCTTTCTGACTGGCACCAGACTACGGATGAAGGCGACAGACAATTGTTGTAGCAGCATCGCCGATCCAGATCTCCACATCCTGAGTTGGGGGTGCAATCGCGGTGCCTTCTCGAATGCCCACGCAGGAGTTCAAGATGCAGGATGCGCCACATCGCCGCAGTATATTCACCACCAGCCGCTCTTCAAGGGCGTGGAGGCGCCGTGCTTCTTCGGTCTGGTCGTTTCCATATTTTGGCCATCGCCGTTTACTTTCCTCCTCGGCCGTCGACAGCGAAACAAAAGAGTCTCTACCAAAAAGAGAGTGTGGATGCAATAGTCAAGTGGATGACGGACATCTCGAGTGAACAACCCGCCAGATGCTCTAGCGCTTTCGGAGGCGACCTGAATGACCATGCAGGCGTGCCCCCAGCTGAATATATCTCGGATGAGTTCGACCCGATAGGCAACCTTTTCCCACGACCCGAATATTATTGTATGAAGAAAGTACGTACCTATCTTGAGCAGTTTGGATTATGTCTCATCAATACGTTCGTAGGTGGGGAGGACACGTTCTTCGGGAGGCAGAACAGTACGCGTGCAGACTACATCGGGGCCCCTCGTACTTGGCTCTCATCGGTTACGCAGTGCAGGGTCCTCCAGAAGCTCGGCAGAAGGCCCCGTTTCTTCGCGAGGTCGATGACATGCGCTTTCGCACGCATCCCGCCTGGCACCGACTCGAGGGGAAGGCGACTCCAGATCAGGCCTGGGAACAGTTTATTGGGGACATTCGCGACATTGCTCTGGGATATTTTGCTAGATACACGGAAGAAGATGCTGAACACGCCCGTGCTCGTGAGGCCCAGCGCACTCTCCTTCGTCAGCGTTTTGAACTTCGGGAGAAGCTTGCTGATAGTCCTGCCGTCTTTATCGCTGACAGTGTATACTTTCAAGAACTCATTCAAGTCCAAGCTAGAGCGTTTGCGGTCGCTCGACAGATAAAAGAAGAGCGAGATGAAGATCGCCAGTCTCGAATGGAGTCGCTAGCCGATCAGATCTGGGACGCTTGGAAAGCGTCACGCTGGGCTCTCATTCACCGTTTGTGCCGCCGATTAGCATGCACGGCTGCGGGGCCAGGTCGGCGCTTCTTCAACCAGCCGCTCAGCACGCGCCCGACCGCCCAGATGCGGGCTGATTTTCTCGCACAGCGTGGGCCTCTCGGAGGCAAATCCGCCACACAAGTTGACCCCGCCAATCTGCCCGCTGACCGAGTGGAGGATGGGATGGGTCACAGGTTCTATGTGCCAGGGTTCATGGAGGAGGCGGAGAGGGACCCCAGGCGTATATGTCTTTCGCTTCGGAAAATGGCCTATCGGAAAAGTGCCCCCCCGTGGAGCCTACCCATGGAGATTTGTCGGGTGATGTTGCTCCCCACACACCGGCACCCTAAATACAAAGATCAACAAGATGCGCTTGCCCAAACAATCCCTAACATGGAATGGTTATCGCGTCGTGTCCGTGGGTTTCTTTGGGATGTTCGAGGCAGGGCTCGTCTACCACAGAATTGGCATCGGTCCTGGGGTTTGCAGTATACCAAAACCTGCGGCTACCTTTCCTGGGCCACGCTCTGTTCGTCTCGTGCATCGCATGTGCCCCTTCAGCAAGGCGCATAGTACAAACCTCGGTCAGCGAGGCGACACTTGTTATCCTGAACGAGGCTTTGCTGGTCACCTCCATGGAGGGATCCGCCACAGACGCCGCGAAGCAGCTATTAAGATACAACTCATTGCAGGCTGGCGCTTTTCACGTTTGCATAAGTCTCACTTCACGCTGTTTTTCGACCAGGCCAACGCCTTCGGAAGCATCGCTGCCGACATCCTCGACGATACTGATTATCTACATATGCATCCAGACGATATCTATTTCGGTCATCATAGCAACCGCCAGAGTGTTATTACATTGGACTGTTCAGACGGGGTGGGCCACTTCCAGGTTCATGAGGGGGTTCTCCAGGGACGCCAGTCTGCACCAGTCAAGTACATTCGCAGCTTCGATCGCAGCGCGCTTGCCCCGTGGCTTTTGGAAAGGCAAGCTACCCACGGCGGGCGAGACCTTATGTGCACTAGCTCGATGAATGATATTGTTGAACAAACTGTTAATTTATCGACCACGGTTTATCTCGATGACACTGCCCATAAGGTCGTCGCACCCACCGCGCAACGCATGGCGGATCAAGTCTGCTCAGCTACTGCAAGTCTATTCCGTCACCTTGCATTGGCTGGTGGCGCTTTGAATGTAGACAAGCAGGTTACAGTGCCTCGTTTTGTTGGGCCTGGCGCTTTTGGTGAGTCTCGCTCGTTTACTGATCCTGTCCGTTGTCTACCAGGTCGTATCAGCACGCATGCAAAGCATCTAGGTGCACAATATCATGGCGCGGGAACCACAGCGCAGCAACGGCACGCTATCCAAGAGAGTATGAGGAGCGCATGGTATGCCATGGGACGGTTCTGGTATGTTAATCATGTTCCACTACGTCTACAGCTTCTTGCATTTCAGGCGCGCGCGCAGGCAGCAGGACTCAGCGGCCTCGAGGCCTACATTCCTTCGGCGAGCGACTATAAGCTTATAAACGGCCTATTGCTACAGTGGGGCCGCACGCTGCTGAAGGGTGCTGCAGTTTTGAGGATCACGCAAGCCGACGGCACCATCAGGCATAGTTCGCTCTCGGCTGCGCGTATCTGGACCAAGCTTGGCTCAGTTCCCTCGCAGCTAGAACTTCGTATCCGACGGCTGCGCTGACTGCAAGAGATTGCTGCCCACCGCTCTGAGAACAAACAGCTGCTAGCAGCGATCGTTGGGCAGATGCGGGGCGATGAATACACTACCTGTGAAAATGGTCTTCTCCCATCAAGCGCTCAATGACATCAAACTCCTGGTGCATGTTGGAAAAGGGCCCCGAGTTGCTCGCCGCAATGGGACACATCCATCTGAGAGTTTTCACCGACGGGTTCAGCACGAGGTTCCACAAATTAAACTGCGACAAGCTCCGCAACAAGTTCTGGGAGGGGGATATCGATGAGGCGGGTAAGAGACGGGTGGAGGGCGGTGGAGGAGCTGCTGCCGCAGGAGGAGGAGGCGAACAGCACGATCTTGACCCAGCACCCCCTCCTCGAGTTTGGCGTTGCAATGAGACGAAAGCAGATGGTTCAGAGTGCGGGTTGGAGTTTCATGATCAACAGGGCTGGCACGCACACATGCGTTTCTGCACGGAGGGTAGTCACGGTCATAGGGTTCTCTCCCAGCTCCTCACGGTCACGAATCAGTGCCCCTGGTGCATGAGCACGCACTCGACTGCCGCGATCTCTCGTCAGCACGTTCGACGCCTATTTCTCAAGCGCAGCTGTCAATGCGATCGATCCCCGAGTCATCGCGAGCCGATTGTACCGCCCACGTTTGAGTGCCCAGCCTGCAGCAGGGATCATCCGTCGCTCGAGGCTCTGCAGAGACATGTACGCACACATGTAGATTTGTCCGACGCCACTTTCTCTTTCGCCGCATCTCATGGCGTGGGCGATGCCAGTCGGCCAGACGGAGCTGGACCAGGCGAAGAAGCGCCTAGCCGATTCTCAGACGAACTCGTTCAGCGCTGGAGGCAGCGGCAAGCAGCACGAGTCGCGCGACCCCAAGAGCCGCCGCCAGCACGCCCCCAGGGGGGCAGCCGACACTGCCATGGCGGAGGACAGCGACACGGACGGCGAGACTGCGACCGAGATGATGAAAGGAGTTCTCAACAACGCACAGCGTCAACGAGCAGTCGAAGGATGCCTCTTCAGCGCGCACTTACTGCCGAAAGAACACAGCATCCACTTCGCCGCCATCGGAGCCGCTCAGAAGTACTTAGATACGGTGAAGGACAAGCCCGCGGACCACGGACTGGGCCCTCCCAGCTTGCAGGTGAGTTTGGCGGTTCTCGAGTCGCTGATCAACCAGGAGGTGCTGAAGCAGAACCCGAACCTGCAGGAGCACGTGCAGTCCGTGACGAAGCTCATCCAGCACGTGAAGGTGCAGCCGATGGCCGTGGCATGCGAGACGCTACGCTACTGGAAGGCGAAGACCGCCTTCGTGAAGGAAGGAGCTCCGCCTCTCGTCCGCCATACCTTCTTCGTCAACTCGTGGGTTCAGGGACCTGGAGGCCTGATGGTTCCTCTGAATTCGGTTCTCACTGCCCTGTTTATGGCCCTCGGGAGCACGCCGAAGCTGGGCCCCCCACCGAAAACCACCCAGGAGCGCCGAGTTCAGAATTCGCTGGAGAAAATGCTTCGCGGAGCCCGCCACAGGAAGTCCAAGTAGAATCTCGGCGGGCCCTAGGTTCGATCTCTGAGCGCGGGTTGGTGCAGTTTCGAGGTGAGTGGGACCCGCTGATGCGCCCCAAAGGCCGAGGCAGACATAGAGGCCGTGGGAAAGGATCTGGAAATTCTAGGGGTCAGTAGTTCGTTCGAATGCAGTCTTAGGTTGAATTGCTGGGGATTCGAGCGAGGTTAGTTCCTCGTCTACTGCCCCACTGGAGCCCCAGCCTAGGCATGGGGGCCTGGCTGGCCTATCTCTCCCCCTCTTGTCCTCTGCTGCTGCCGCCCCTGGCTGCCGCCGCTGTCCCTCTTGTCCGCTCTGCGTCTCCGAGATGTTGTCTGCGTATGCACGTACAGGCCTCTCGACCCTGTGCTGCAATCAGGGAGTCCCCAAGCTGATTGCTGGGGGAGGGGCTCCCCTTGTGTTTTGACATCGGCGGGAGCATAGTGCTTCCCGAACGCCCTGCGGCCAACTTCGATTCACGAACTGTGAAACCTGGCCATGCGCAGATTGCGAGCGAGCCTCCTCCTCCTCCTCCTCCTCCTCCTCCTCCTCCCCTCCTCCTCCTCCTCTTCCTCCTCTTCCTCCTCCTCCTCCTCCTCCTCCCTCCTCCTCCTCCTCCTCCTCCTCCTCCTCCTCCTCCTCCTCCTCCTCCTCCTCCTCCTCCTCCTCCTCCTCCTCCTCCTCCTCCTCCTCCTCCCCCCTCTCACTTCCCCCCCTGGGCGCGCCGCCTGCGTGAGTCACGCCGCCTGCGTCGTTGTCGATGGGCTTCGGCGGGCGAGCGCAAGTTGGCGCCAGCACGCGCCCCACAGGACCACCGATCCTCGCCGGACGCCGAGCGCCGCGGCGGTGGTGCCACCGGGCCTGGCCACACGCAGGTGCTCCCTCGTCGTCGGCCCGTCGATCGATCGATCGAGGAACCAGGCTTTGGTCGATCAATCGATCGATTTCAACCTCAAGCCGATCCTCGAAGGTCGAGGATCGGGCTGAGGTCGACAGATCGGTCGACCGAGGATCCAGATGTTTCGACGTTGTGGGCCTATGTGGGGATGCCTCCAGGAAGTCTCGGGTGGCGCCCCAGAGGCCCCGTGGGGGACCCCCCCATGACTTGCAGAGGCTGCCAAGGCCTCTGGGCGCCATGTTGCCCCTTTGGGGGGGTCTCTGGAGGCTCGTCCTTCTCCTCCTACTCGTCCTCCTCCTCCTCCTCTTCCTCCTCCTCCCTTCCTATACAAAGGCACTGCCCGCTGCTGCCTTGTCTCTCCGTGGGTCGCCCCGGGAGTGCCCGTCGCGGCCGCCGGCCGACATGCCTCTGCTGTTCCTCCAGAGGGCGAGCCTCCTTTGGGGGCCGCGCCGAGAGCGGGGGAGGAGAAGGAGGAGGAGGAGGAGGAGGAGGAGGAGGAGGAGGAGGGGGAGGGGGAGGGGGAGGGGGAGGAGGAGGAGGAGGAGGAGGAGGAGGAGGAGGAGGAGGAGGAGGGAGCAACGGCTTGCGCGCCCAGGTTTGGTCTCCACGCGGCCCCCAAAAAGCCGCGCACCAAAGGTCACTCTTACCCAGGGTCACTCTTGCGTGTAGCCGAGCGCTGGCCGAAGAAATACGCGCGGACTTCGGGCAGTTTGTTTGCACGTCTGTGTATACGTCGGCCACTGTTCCTCTATCGTCGTCGTCGTCGTCGTCCCTTCGCCATCGTCGTCTCGTCGTCGTCGTCGCCGATGCCGCCAGTTTTCGGCGGTCCCCGTCTTCTCTCTCGAAGGCCTTCAGGGGTATTGTCCCAGGTCTTCGCCGGGTTTTCGTTGGTTTTCGTCGGTTTCTTGCGGGCTCCGCAGTCGGTTCGGCGGTTCTCCCTCCTCTTCCTCTCCCTTCCCTCCTCCTCCTCCTCCTCCTCCTCCTCATCCTCATCCTCATCCTCTTCCTCCTTATCCGCCTCCTCTGTTTCCTTCTCCTCCTACTTCTGGCCCTTTCCTTAACCCCTTCCTCACCCTCCTCATCTTCCTCCTCTTTCTCGCCTCACCACCGTCATCAACATCGTCCTCATTATCATAATCAGCACCATCCTGCCCATCATCATGTTCTTTACCCACCATCAGCATCACCACCAGTATCCTCATCAGCATCGCCATCATCACCATCATCCTCATCATCGTTTTCGTCCTCTCCCTCCGCCTTCTTCTCCTACTCCTCCTCCTCCTCCTCCTCCTCCTCCTCCTCCTCCTCCTCATCATCATCATCATCATCAGCATCATCGCCTCCTTGCGCTGGCTGACGTTTCCAAGTTTTCGCCCAGTGGTTGACCCTGGGCGTTGTGTGGGCATTGCGTACACTAGCTGGGCATGGCCTCTATTTTACAGCTTACACCGCGTAGCCTGCACCACATAGATTCTCCTTTCTTCGAACACACGAATAAACTCTACCACCTGACCGAGACTGGACTTATCGGGCCGCCCCGGGACATTGCAATGCACATATAATTTTGTGTCATCGCTAATGCTCTGTATGAAGCCAGACCATCCCAGCCATGTTCGTGTCTCTCCCTGCGTCTTCTTCAAATAATGCCATGCGCGCTTGTAATGGCCTCCTCCCAGTGCCGCCGATCCGGGGGTCTTCAGATTCGTTGATCTTGGAGTCGTCGGGGACGCTGTTTGGGAGGCAGGGCGCTTTGGGAGTCGTCGGGGACGCTTTTTGGAGCTGACGTGCCCTCTGGGGGGGTGCCTGGAGCGGTCCCCCCGGGGTGGGTCCGGGGAGGGTTCCGAGGGGAGGGTCCTGGGGGCGGTAGCGGCTAGATCTGAGGGGGGTCCCTGGGACCCCCCGAAACATCTTGGGGATGCGCAAATCATCAAGAAAACGCCAGATGGGGGACCGCCCCCCCCCTCCCGTGTGGGGCATGGACATCGTTGTCATCGTCGTCACCAGCATCGGCGCCTTCACAGGCCTTACCGTCATCATCACCATCATCGCCACCATCACCGTTGCCATCATCATCAGCAGCAGCATCATCGTCGTCATCAGCAGCATCATCATCATTACCGCCGTTGTCGACGTCATCATGATTTTGCGCCCGCCCGTGTCATCGACCCGCACTGAAGTGCTTTCCCGCCAGCCCGGCTTGTGAGACGCGTTGGGAAGTTCGCATCGGTAAGCGCCAGCGCGGCCGCATCCTTGCGCTGGCAAGTTCCAAAAACTAAACGCACTCGTGTTCGAATTGGTCTTGCCAAACACACAGCGAGCAGCTGCAATATCTAGGTCACCACATAGAGTGTACCACATCGTTTGCACCACACGGCTTACACCACATACACCGCTTCCAACACGTAGTTTCCACCAGATAGATTGCACAACGTTGCTTCCACCACAGGGCATGCACCAAACAGTTGTTGCCACATAGCTTGCAGTCCACGGTGCACAAATTCACGACTTGGGGTCCGCGAGTGCAAACTTTGTTGTTGTAGTTTTTGCCGTGCAGCTTCATCTGCCTCCATGTCTCCCCCTCAGCGTCGCCAAGCGAAGGACGAGGAAAGGGACGAGGGGAAAGAACAGGGGGATGCATAGGAGGAGGGGGAGGAGGAGGAGGAGGAGGAGGAGGAGGAGGAGGAGGAAGAGGAGGAGGAGGAGGGGGAGGTGGAGGTAGACGGCGAAGGAGGAGGAACAGGAAAACAAGGAGGAGGAGGAGGAGGAGGAGGAGGCGGAGGAGGAGCAGGATGAGGGGAGCCGAAGGGGAGGCAGGATGAGCAGGAGGAGGAGGCATAATGATTGTGATGATTTGATGGGAGCAGGAGTGGGGAGAGAGGAGGAGGAGGAGGAGGAGGAGGAGGAGGAAGAAGAGGATGAGGAAGAGGAGGAGAAGGAGGAGGAGGAGGGTTAATCTATCATTCCCTGAGGTGCTCCGGGATCCCGGCATGGAGGTACGCAGCGGCGCCTTGATATCGCTTCCGGAGGTCAGCTTCCTCTCCCAGCGTCAGCTGGAGGACGCGACCTGCAGGGGTCGGGGGCAAAGCGCACCAGAGCTTTGATGGAGCACGCAACCAGAGGTACCTCCGACGTGGTGGCTCCTCCTGTTCCTCCTCGGCGTCCTCGTCCTCATCATCATCCTCATCGTCATCATCCTCAGCATCATCATCATCATCATCATCATCATCATCATCATCATCATCATCATCATCATCACCATCATCATCATCATCACCATCACCATCACCATCACCATCACCATCATCATCATCATCATCATCATCATCAGCATCATCATCATCATCATCATCATCATCCTCATCCTCATCCTCATCGTCATCATCATCAGCATCATCATCATCAATCAGCATCATCAGCATCATCGCCCGCCTGCTCCTCGTCCCCCTCCTCTCCTCCTCCTCCTCCTCCTCCTCCTCCTCCTCCTCCTCCTCCTCCTCCTCCTCCTCCTCCTCCTCCTTCTCCTCCTCCTCCCCCTCCCCCTCCTCCTCTTCCTCCTCCTCCTTCTCCTCCTCCCCGTGCGGTGTCAAAGACGTGGTGGCCTGTGGGCCGCTCCAGAGAGGTCCTGGCCTCTGAGAAAGCGGGAAGCGGCCTCCTCTGCTCCTGCGGAGGGCTGGCGGAGGTCAGGCGAGGGAGGCGGAAGCCGGCGGAAGCAGCGATCCCCCCTCCGAGAGACTCTTCTCGCTCTGCGGGGCGCACGGCCGGGGCACGCAAGGGCTGGGCGCTGGGTGGTTTGCCTTGCTCGGCTGCCGCGTCGGTCTGCCCGCCCCGGGGGGCGCCCGCAGCGGCACGGGGGGCGGAGGCGCCCACCCGCCAAGTTTCAGCGCCAGGATTGAGTCGGGCGGGTCCCTCCTCTACAGGGGGGAAATCCAAAAAGAGTCCAAAAATACCCTGGGGACAATTTTTTAACTATTTTTGAGCATTTGGGGAGGCATTTTTTCCGTATTTTGTTATTTTTCGCCCAAAACCTTTTTGTATGGGGGACACGCCCGACTTAACGCCAGGACGAGCGTTCGTATGCCCACGAGGACGGCCGCCCCTCCAAGGGAACACCTTTCTGGATGCGCCCAGGGCTGCCGCAGCGGGCCGGGCACCACTAGCAGCAGCCAGGCGACGGCGTGCGCGCGGGCGTCTGCGCGCGCGGGCGGGCGGGAGCGTGCGCTCGGCCGCATGCGCGCGTGCATGCGCGCCCGTGCGCGCGGGCGGTCCGCAGCCCTTGTGGCCCACGCCCAAGGTCAAGGTTTAAGCCGGGCATGTCCCTCTACAGGGGGAATATTCAAAAATAGTCTGGAGACGATTTTTTGACTATTTTTGAGCATTTAGGGGGCGTTTTCTGAGTATTTCTCATTTTTCGTCCAAAATCCCCTTGTAGGGGGACACGCCCGACTGAAGTCAAGCTCAGCGTCATGGCGCGGCCGCGGCGGGCGGGATCTGCGCTGGTTGCCAGCGGAATTCGGAGACCTGGGGCTCGTGAGCCCGCCTGGCTCAGAGCCCCTTGCTCCGAGGTTGCCAAGACGTTTCGTTGCACATGGTCGGATTCGCGCGTGCGACCGCGTCTGGACATTTCAAGAACGGAAGGCAAATGACACGGGCGCCGTCCCCGTGCGTGCGAAGCGAACCTTCTAGGAACCCTACTTTGTTGCAGCTCCCGACTTGCAGGGTGCTCGATTGGCGAAGAGCTCGTAGCTGCGATAAGCTTGGGCGGATAATCCGGCCAGAGTCGCCAGCACATAAGGCGTTTCAGAAATGGCCTCGCCTTCGGGGGTCGAGGGAGTTGACATCACTTCCTCGCCGGAAGGCCAGAGGAAGTAAAACGGGTCGACAGAAGGTCGTCGGAAGGTGGAAGTAGAAGTCGGCATTCCGACCGAGGCCAGTTTGTTTATATTCAGGGGTTCGAGAAAGAGCCGTTTGATCCAGTATTGCCGATGAGCCAAATCTGTACGAACCTATTTATATACACAGGTATGATACATGTGTATTTATTTATATGATCTACGACAGACCAATGCAAGAGGGTAATGGTTGAAAACATGGGCGTGCTATTGCGAACACATCCTTCTCGAAAAGGCCTCTTTTCAAAGTCACGCACCATGGAGCGAATGGGAATCAGCGACATACATATATATATATATATATATATATATATATCCGGAAAAACTCCAGGTGTTTAGGGTGCTTGACAGATTCTGGAGCAACCGAGTGTCTCAATATGGGGAGTGCCTACAAATTAGTTTATCCGTCTATGCGCATGGGCCAGCGGACACGTCGAGACAAGAAGTCGCAGAAGCCGGCCGTCGATTGGTCATGTGTTGATATGTCGGCATATGTTGTCAGAGTACGAGAAGCTTGTGGCGATTTGAACGCGCCAGAGAACATGGACGCAATATGGTGGATGCCGCCGGCAGGGCTCAAGGAACTCATGGCGACGCTGGGCCGCGGGACTGTAGAGACACCGATGTGCAACGTCTTTTGGAACAGAGAACAGCAATGACGATTTTTTGTGACGAGAGGAAGAGGTTGAGCAAGCGAATTTCCCAGAGAGGTCCGCGCAATGCGAAGAGCCACTGCGACAAAACCAAGCAACGACATCTTGGAATCGTTGAGAGGTGCACGACAGATCCCGAAGGTAGAAGATATCAAGCGGAAGAGTTTAATTTCCCACGTGGTTAACGACAACGGGAACACGATCACTGACAGGAAGTCGCATGCAGATGTGTTTGCCGACTTCCTCGCGCAGCTCTATCGCGAAGATGATTACCAAGAGCAGGCCGACCAGGAGGACAACGCCAAGAACCCAATTCCCGAGTTTATTTTACCAGAGCTCAGGCTGCAGATCAAGAAACTGAAGCTCGGGAAGTGTAAAGATGAAAGTGGGCCATTGCCGACATGATCAAGCATGGCGGCGAACATTTGGAGTTTTTGATATTGAGGCTGTTCAACGATATCATCTCGGCAACCTGCGTTCCACCAGGCAGCTGGGAGCAATCAATCGTATGTGTCCTAATATGCTCGCAAGTACAGGCCCATCACGGTCATATCATAATTGCACCAGCTGTTTGCCAAATTACTGCACGCTCGATTATTTCCTATTCTGGACGCGCGCCAAGGAGTTGATCAAGCACGCTTCCGTCCAAGTGCGGGTACGACGCGCCACTTGTCTGCGGTCATAACGTTGTAAGAGAAGCGCCATGAATTGCAACAGTGTTTATGGATATCTGCGATCGGCTTTCAGAAAGCGTTCGATTCGGTCAAGCACAAATGCATATGGGAGGCTCTGGAAAGACGGCGTAACAGACGGATGCGTTCAATTGCTGGAGAGTTTGTATTTTGGGCAACCGGGAAGAGTTCGCACCGACCGCATGAGTAAGGAGTTCGACATTCTGCGTGCCACTAAGCAGGGCGACCCGCTCAGCAGCTCGCTATTCAACGCAGTCCTGGAGGATATCTCTGCTGAGGTCAAACCGTCGTAGGAAGTGAAGTTTTGGGGGTAAAGAATGGTTTTCAGCTAGCACAGAGAGCTTACCAACCTACGCTTTGCAGATGACGTTTTGCTTAGTGGCACGTCTTTACGACAAGCGAGGATTATACCACCTGACTTTCAGAAGGCAGCACGTCGATCAACACTCCGCCCAGGGGGAACGAAGATTCTGACAAACGCCCTTAAATGCGCTGGGCGCCCCAGAACATCGCACGTGCAAGCCGGCGACATGAACATCGAGATTGTACCGCATGAGGAGAAAACGAAGTACTTGGGAAAGGAATTATGTTTCGATCGACCACATGACGTCGACGTTGATCACCGGATCAGCATGGCATGAAAGCGTTTTACGGCGCAGAGATCATAGTTGTTGAATAGCACGCATTCCCTGAATGTTCGTCTGCATGTAGATGTTCGACGCCACGGTGTCCAACATTCTCCTGCACGGCAGTGCAACGTGGGTGTCGCCGCAGTAGCTGACTGACAAGTTACGCCGGGTGCATCGGAAGATGCTGCGCATGATCTACGATAGTCGTCGCCGGCAGGTGGCTGAATGTGTTCCACCAAACTCCACGTCACCAACAGCGCCATCATAGAATTCGGGTTCTTATTGTGACCCCGTTTTGGAGCCATGGGCAGACTGGCGTAGAGAGCCACTCACGAGGTCGAGGAAGGATGCCGTCGACCACGCATTCGCGATTGCATTAAAAGCCACAAGTGCGCAGCAGCCCAACGGCACAGAAAGATACAAGAAGCGACAGACAGCTGGGTTCACCACGCCTTCACATGGGAACCCTTTATTTGGCTGACGCGACGAGCACAAAGACCGAAGAAGAGGTGGATCGACGCCGTGCTGACGAACATCTGAAAGACTACAGACGAGATTCCGCCGCGCCTCCCGCGCAGGGACGGTTTCCGGGCTGGCGGGCGCGCGTGTCTGTTTATACATCACATGTGCTTCTCTCATCTATATATGCATTCATCTGTATAGATACATATGTGGATGTATGTATGTATGTACGCATGCATGTACGAAAGAGAAGGATGGAGAGTGGGCTTGGGAGGTGGGCGGACCGCTGCCTCAGTGCCGCACGTGGGGCCAAACGAGCCTAGACACGCCAAAAGGGCTTTCAAGGGGCCTTGAAGGCGCCAGAACGCCCCCGGTACGCCTACCATTGCTTTGAGACGGCCCACGTGGCCTCCAAGACGCACCAAGATAGCTTCAAACTGCTCTTCGGGTTTCCGTTCGGTTGTTCAGTCAAACTGCTCTTCGGGTTTCCGTTCGGTTGTTCACGGATTTTCGCGTGGCCCCGAGACGGCACAAGAGGCGCCCAGGAGGGCCACAACACACCGCAAGAGGGCGCAAAGAGGGCCCATGAGGCGCCTAAGATCGCCCAAGAATGCTCAAGGCGGGGGGCCCAAAACGGCCCAAGCATGCCCACCATTGCTTCGATGCGGCCCGCGAGGCAGCCAAGAGAGACCAAGATGGCTCCAAACTGTTTCCCGAGAGAGCCCCAATATGCT